AATATATATATATACATATGAAAATTGTTAAGAGTAGATTTTTAGGAGTTCCTGTCACAAAAATATAACTATATAAGGCAGTATATAATGTTTCTAGGTCACTTAGCAATTTCTATGATTTGTACATACTACAAAGCATGTTGTATATCATAAAAACATAGTTCGTATTTGTCAGTTTAAAATTAAAAAAAGAACCAAGAGCCAGCAAGATGGCACAGGAGGTTGTGGCACAAGCCTGACAACCTGAGTTCCTGTCACAAAAATATAACTATATAAGGCAGTATATAATGTTTCTAGGTCACTTAGCAATTTCTATGATTTGTACATACTACAAAGCATGTTGTATATCATAAAAACATAGTTCGTATTTGTCAGTTTAAAATTAAAAAAAGAACCAAGAGCCAGCAAGATGGCACAGGAGGTTGTGGCACAAGCCTGACAACCTGAGTTCAAACTCTGAAGCCCACATAATGGAACGAGAGAACCAGTTTCTGAAACTTGTCTTCCAACCTCCACATGCATGTGGTAACGCACAGACGCAGAAAAATAATTTTTTTAATTACAGAGACAGTCAATTTGTTTAATCCCCCCACACATTAGAAACAGTTAAACTGAGCCCCATATGCCTGCCATCCTAGCACTACAAGAGAACCATGAGTTAAGGTCCTGCCTTTTGTAAAAAAAAAAAAAAAAAAACAAAACCCTGTGTCTAAAAACAAAACCAAAAATACTGTTTCGGCTCTAGGAGGTTTTTTGTTTTGAACTTTGTGTGTGTGTGTGTGTGTGGTGTGTGTGTGTGTGGTGTGTGTGTATATGCACAGTTGTGGTTATGAAACCCAGAGTTCAACCTGTGGTGTCCTTCTCTACCACACTCCCATCATAATTTTTTTCAATACATATTTTTGGGGTTTTTTTGTGTGTGTGCATTTCATACAGTACATCTTAATCATATTTAGACCACTTCCCCTATCTGCACCCTCTTCCCATAGCCCCTACACTGGATTTCATGCCTATCAAGTCATTTGTTTCCCCAGATGGTCCTCAGTGTGAATTCATCCACTGAAACCTGGTCAGCCTATCTAGCATCACTCCCTTAAAGAAGATGAACTCTCCCTCACTCAGCAATGATCAACTGCCAATAGTTACTCAGCTAAAGTTGGGGTCTGTTGCCCATTTCCCCAGATCTATGCTGGATTTTTGTCTGGTTTGACTTTACATGGGTCTTCTGCATGCTGTCACCATTGCTATAAGCTCATGAGTTAAGTTTCTAGAAGCCTGGAAAATTCTGTTTCCTCATGGTCGTCCACCACCCCCAGCTTTTAAAATCTTTCCACCTTCTCTTCCGCAGTGGTCCTTGAGCCCTGGGTGGTTAAGATTTTATATAGGAGTCCTGTCCAGAGACATGCACTCTGCAGTCTTATTCTCTACACTTTGGATAGTTGTGACCGTCTGTGTTAATTGCCCTCTATTGCATGAGGAAGCTTTGCGGGTAAGAGTTGAAAGATGCATTAGTATTTTCTACCTCCTCTTCCACTGTGGTCCATGAGCATGTCTCTTAGGACTGAGCATTTCTCACTCTCTCTGTTTGATCCCATGTGGAACTCCGTTAACAGTCTGTTTCCACCATATTTTTTGAGATGGAGTCTCTCTCAGTTAATCTGAGGTTTCTGCTAGACTAATTGGCCAGTGAGCCCCAGGATCCGCTTGTCTTTGCTCCACCCCGCTCCTCCCAATATCAGTGGTTATAGATCCTTGCTGCCTTTACATGGATTTTGAGGATCTGGACTCACGTGAGTGTTTTATTTACATTATTTCCACCCCTCCCTCTCCCCACTCCAACACCTCCACATTCCCCCACTCTCCCTCTCAATATCCTGAGCTCCTCTTCAACTATTGATGTGTTTGTGTGTGTTTTAATTTAGATAAACCTTTGTCTAGAAATAGAGTTTTAGTATTTTCTTTCCTGTATGTTTGTTAGACCATTGCATTGAATAAAAGTGATGAGAGGGTTAGAGAGAGGGCTCAGTGCACTTACCCTTTCAGAGGACCCAAGCTCAGCTCCCAGTGCCAATGCTGGGTGGCTCAACCTCCTGTAACTCCAGCTTCAGGGTGATCTGACTCCTGACATCTGTAGGCATCTTACACATACATGAACCTTCTCACATGCACAAACATACACACGTAATCAAATAAAATTTTTTTTAAAAAGCGTTGAGAACACTTGGTCTTGTGATTCCAGAGGGAAAGCACACATCAGTTACTTGGATTGTATAATGTTGGGGTTGGTTGCTGCTTCCTGTAGCAGAAATAGTTTGCCTCCCTGCAAATAACTGTATCTCCAATAGTATGATCTGCAGTTAGCTATAAGAACTTTCTTAAGAAAAGAAGAAAAAAACTGGAGTTAAGTGTACAAATCACTCATCCGTGGATAAGATTGTTGTCAGAATCCTTTTGGCCTCATTTTAGATATTTTGAGATTATTGGTAGCAATCATCTTGGTCATTTGTATTAAATGCAAAATTTTTAAAGGAATCTGTAATTGCATACTGAATATTATAGAAGATTCTCATCTTTTTTTATCAGATATGATCTGTACTAGCATGTTTTGGATGGTAAATACTTGAAATGTTGGTTGTGCTAATTACCCTGATTTATATACTTGTTATCAAAATGTGACACTATCTCATAAGTATTTAAATGCTATGTGTCCATTAAAACAAAATACTTTAGAACATATTCTGAATTATTTAGATAACTTCTGAATGCTCATTGATTGAATAAATGCAGGACAAACATGCAAATAGGCCAGGAGCTACCTAGAATATGTATTCATACTTGATTACCTTTGTATTATGATAGCCTCCAGTGATTACTGCATAGCAAATACATTATTAGTAAAGAGCCTGCACCTATGTCTAATCAAAATGAATAAAAGTAATTACCTTTGTTCTTAAGTTCCAGTGTATTTTATTGCTTAAAAAGCCTGTTTGCTGAAACCATCATACATAATCCTTTTAGTCAGTAATGCATTAACATTTTGATGCATACCCCTTCTAAGCTATTTTCTTTAGACATAGATTTATTTGCTTTTGGATATTTGCGATAATACCTCATTCTGTAGTCCAGGCTGGTATGGAACTCCCATTGATTTCTTCCGCTTTAGCCTAGGATTATATGCTTGAACATTCCATGTTGTAGCGTTTTTATTTCATCGTGAGTTTCACTGTTGTGTAATTGTCTGTTAAAATTGTTTTTAGATGTTTGAGCCACTTGAAAAACCAATCTTATTTTCTGATTTTTCATGATTATACATGCTCATGCAGTATATAGATTATTGTGGTTAAATATTTGTGTGTATATTTTTTGCAACTTTTCTTTGGATAAATTCCTAAAAATAGAATTGCTAAGTTTTCCAAAACAAGAAACTTTTGGTGAGTTTTCCCATCTGGGAGCATCAAAAATATATATATTTAACTGTCATACTCAAGGATTTGAAATTCTTGAAAAAAAATATTTTCTACTGAATTTTTGCAATTTTCATACAATATGGCCAATTTAATGTACTTTTAAATATATATAAATATATATCATTCATATATATAAAATGACCTATAGAGTCTGATTTGTGTCCCTAAATTTCCTTCAGTGTGGGTCCACCCACCAAGTCTCATTCACTGTCTCCTCTCCTCCCAATAAAACATTTTTGTTTTGGCTTCATTTAGTTTCAAGGTTCTGTAACAGATTGTAGGTCAGTTGTATCTAAAGAAATTATTTTCTCTCTTCTATCTCATAGCTATATTTTTACATTAGGTATCTTGCATGTTCTTTATTTTGTATATCTGAAAATATAGAACTTTAGATTACTTGCAACTTTAAGTTCTCATTATTTCGGGGGTTTTCTTTCAGATCTTAAAAACAGAAAATTGAAAACATGAAAGTAGACAGGACTAAACTGAAAAAGACACCTACTGAGGCTGTGAGTATCCAAGTTTGCTTTGCCTGTTTTCTTCATTTCAGGAAAAATTCTTTGAGACCAGTTCAGCCATTCTGTTCTTCCAAATATGTCCAGTTTATGCAAAGTGTTATTACAACAACTTGGGAGGCTGGGAGGAATAGCTCAAGTTGTGGATTTCTTGCCTCACATGCATAAGGCCTTGGGTTCCATCCTGAACGCCACAAAAGAAAACAAAAATACTAACTTGCCCTTTGAACTTACTCTGATTAAAAGTTAGTATCCAAGTGACCAGTGGAAAAGGAACAGTGAACAGTCCTTTGTAGGTGTGGGTCCCTGAAATGGGCATTCAGGCTAGTATTCTTAAGCACTGAAAGACATAGATACCAATTCTGACTAGCTATTAAATTTCAGGTAGTGGTTGTTGTTTTTAAGAAAATAACAATGGTAAGTTTATTGACTTTTAAAAACAAAACAGTGTCATTATAAGACTCAACTGAGAATTAAAAATCAGGAAGAGACGATCCTAGCGTGTATGTAAGAACTTAATAGAGGGATTATATATTGTGGGAAAGAACAGTATTAGTCAATAAAATGTGCCAGGACAATTATTTTAATTTGTGGGGATGGCGTGGGGGACTGTTTTACTGAAGTAAATTGTAGATAAATCAAAAGTCAGATATTTTTAAAAGAAATTATAGGAGAAGTAGAACATACAGGTGAATGTTTACCTTGTCTTAGGTGGGGATTGCCCTTCCAGGCATTAAAGCAAAGGACAAAAAACCAAAATGGAAATGTAAAATACCATATCCAAAATAAAAGGACACATGACAATAGCCATTCTAACAGGTATGAGGTAATGTCTCATTATGATTTTGATTTGCATTTCCCTGATTATTAGTGATGTTGAGTACCTTTGTATGTGCCGTTTGGCCATTTATATGTATTTGGAGGAAAGTCTATTCAAATTCCCTTGCCCACTTTTAAAATTGGATTATTTGGGTTTTTGCTATGATGTTGCATAAGTTTCTTATATATTTTTGAAATTAACCCCTAAAAGAATGAAAAATGAAATTAAGTCAGTCATAGCGGGACAAATACCACATGCTTCCTCTTATATGGGGCATCTAAAATAGTCAAAGGTATGTAAATAGGCAACAGACCGGTTGGTTATCATGGGAGTAAATGGTGGGATTGTTCTACGGCTATGTGCAGTTCAGTTATACAAGTGTGTAAAAGCTGGGTGTGGTAGCTCATGCCTGTAATCCTAGCACTCATGAGGCTGAAGCAAGAGAATGACAGGTTCACAGGCAACCTGGGCTATACTGATATTCAAAAAGGGAAAAGTTCTAGAACCTATAATTATCAGTAAGATATTGTATACTTAAGAATTTTCTTGAGGATAAACTTAACGTTAAATGTTCTTAACAGACACGTACACAAAGAGCCACAAGGAAACTTGGAGGCTGTAAATAATGCTTATCACCTGGATTGTGGTGGTGATAACACCAATATATGCATCCATCCAAACTCATCAAAATATGTTCATTATGCGCCATTTTTGTGTGCCACTTATCACCTCAGTAAAGCTCAGGTTAGGGAGCATGGGAATGACAAGCTAGAGAAAATATTTGTAACTCAACATAGTTAAAACAGTAGAAGAAATGAATACCCCAATTATAAAATGGGCATAAAACATTTCAGAGAAGTAGCAAATCCAGTAAACTAGAAAGATTTGCTCTTTATAGGTGATCAGAGAAATGCAAATTTTAATGTTTTTACATTAGTGTATTAAATTTGCTCTTGGAAGTCACACCTACCTACAAATTTCCTAGCTTCTTGCAGATTACTAAGTCACTGACTAGTTACATTTTAAGACTTGAGTTGCCTATTTCTCTCAAGCAACAGAAAAGATAGCCCAGTTTTTCATACTAGGGTCAATGCTAGGTTTTAGTTTTAAGAAATGTTTTTATTGGGCCTAGAGAGATGGTTCAGCAGTTAAGAGCACTGGCTACTCTTGGCAGAAGACCCAGGTTCAAATCCCAGCACCAACATGGCGGCTAACAACTGTCCGTAGCTCCTATTCCAGGGAATACAACAGCCTCTTCTGACCTCTGAGTGGCATTGCATGACATGTTTGCACTCATATACATGCAGGCATAACATTCATACATAGAAAATAAAAATAAATAATAATATAAAGTTAAAATAAATAATAATATAAAGTTTTTAAAGAAATGTTTTTTATTGGTAGCTCAATATATTGGTAGCATTGCAAATAACACCCCCCCAACCCAGTTTGAAAATGATCGGAACAGACTCCTAACTCTGGTAGTTGGTGTGCAGCTATGGAACGGATGTGCTTGCTTTTTGCATTACTATAAATGGGGAAAATCATACTTGGTTTGCATTTATGGAATGAGAGTAAAGATGCTGTTACGCTAACTAGATCATATCATCAGAAAGCACAAGCATCTTAGATGCTTCAGACATGGGTTTTCAGAGAGCCAGAGATGAACCCTGTGAAAGTTGGAGGCCTGCCACATCAGGAAAGCTTAAGGAAGGCAAACAAGATAGCTAAGTGGGTAAATTGCCCTTGCTGTATAAGCCTGACAACCTGAGTTCATAGGTGAAACAATAAGACCTGACTGCACAAAGAGTTGTCCTCTGGCCTCCACACTTGTGCCCACCCCCCCATCCTGTTTTCTCCTCTCTGTCATACGCACACAATAAAAATAAATAAAACTATAAAAATTTAAAAAAAAATTCCCAGTCCTGAAGTCTGGTGGATATTGGAATGTCCCTTTGAAAATGAAAGAGACAAGTTGCTTTACTTTCTTCCTTCCATGTACTATAAGGAGGAGAAACAGTGTATGTATTGCCTAAGTTTGGGATTTGGAGCTAACATATGTTACATTCGAGAATTATTTTAACCTACTCCTGAATAACCTTAAGCATTTAGAGGGCAATAGTGAAATGTTAGTGAAGCTGATAATCTAGGAAAGACTGCAAAAGGTCTAGGCTACCTTGCAAGCTGCTTTACTGCTTGTATGCTTTGATCTAGTACACCCAGATAGTTCATTAACTCTGCCATGATGCGAAGTAGTGTCTTTGGCAAGCTCCAAGTAAACAATCACAGGTAAGTGAATCACTCTGAGTTCGAGGCCAGCCTGGTCTACATGTCAACAAATGTATTGCATTCAAGCAGCTTCTGACTTTGTGAAAGACTGAATGCCTTAGTGTTGGTCATGCCGAGTACTGTAGGACCTGATTTTTTAACCTCAAAATTGGTGTTACCTAACACATAGAATCTTAAAATTTGATTTAATCCCAGCACTCGGGAGGCAGAGGCAGGCGGATCTCTGTGAGTTCAAGGCCAGCCTGGTCTACATAGTGAGTTCCAGGACAGCTGGGGCTACAGGGAGACCCTGTCTCAAAAAGACCAAAAAAATTGATTTAATACAGGTATATTCCATTAGAAGTCAGGTACATTTGATACTGGATCCAAGTAACTGAAGAAGGCACAAATGAACAATGAATAGGTGGTTCAAATTCTTGTTACCTGTTTCTTCTGCTTCACAGTTTATCCTCCCATCTATACTTTAATAAAAGGAAGGGTGTGTTCAGTCCTGGTTTGTGGAAGGATTTGGTGGTGAGGGTTTTGCATACATTGACTTTTCGTAGAAATTTGAAGAGGATCTTAAGGTTAGGACTGAAAATTCAGTGGTTAAGAGCACGGTCTGCTCTTGCAAAAGACCTAGGTTCAGTTCCCAGCACTCAACAACCACAACCCACACCCACAACTGTCCTTAACTCAGCTCCAGGGTATCTGGCACCTTCTTCTGGCCTCCATGGGCATTGTATGCACTGGTTCACTTACATGCACTCATACACATTAAATAATCAATTAAAAAATAATCTGTATTTTTAAAGCTTATATTCAATGGGGATCCCTTTCATATGGCAGAAATATATTCCAGTTTTAGATCTCACAGCAGCATTGTTGGATATCTAGGTAGTAGTTGTTCATTCCTTCAATAAGGATGCTGAGATTCAGAGACCTCAGTCCTCTCCTTTATACCTGATAAATGGTAAATCAGTAAAAGGGACCAGGAATATATGTAAATGGGAAAACTAAGAACAGTCTTAGTTTTACCAAGTTTAGAAGTTGTTTGTTCTGTTATTTGAGGATCAATATTGTAGAAAAGTATATCCAATGCTAGTCTTTTCCTTTAACTGTAAATTCACTTTCTTTTCATTCTGATTCAACAACATTACCAGGCATTCTGGAACTCTTTCAGACTATGACCTGGATTACCTAATTTTGCTTTTAGAGTTATTTAGTTTATTGCCTTTATTTCTGTTGTGTGGGTATCATTTATCTGCATCTACCAGTTTAACTGGTATTAAACAAATGCATAGATGGATTGTTAGATAAAATATTTCCTCATGAGATTTATATTTTAATAAGCCAGGTGATGTGATCTTCTGCCAGATTAGTTTTATATAACCAAAAGTTATGCTTAAGTATCACTTTCCCCCATTATTTGTTTCTCCCTCATTCCAAAACACTTTGTGAATACTTGTTTGTTTTTCTCAGCCTGCAGACTGCAGAGCCTTAATAGATAAACTCAAAGTGTGTAATGATGAGCAACTCCTCTTGGAACTACAGCAAATCAAAACATGGAACATTGGCAAGGTATGTAAAACCATGATGACATAAGACATGACTCACTGTATTAGTACATCATTTTGTGTGCTTTGACATGGCAAGAGAGATAAATAGCCTGATTCAGCAATTATTTAATAAAAAGTATCTAGTATATATGTAGCACAGCTCTAGGCCACTGGCATTTAGCCTGAATTGTTGCCAAGAAATTTTTAAAAGAAAAAAAATTAATTGGCCCAGGGGATATTTCAGCAGGTAAAGGCAGTTGCTGTCAAGCCAAATGATCTAAGTTTGATCCCTGAATTCCACATGGCGAAGGGGGGAGAGAACAGATTCCCAAAATTGACCTCCGTGTAGGCACTGTGGCACGAGTACCTACCACATGTGTACACAAAATAAATGTTGAATTTTTTTTGAGACAGAGTCTTCCCTGTAGCCCCAGCTGACCTGGAATTTACTATGTAGACTAGGCTGGCTTTGGACTCGAGATCTGCCTGCCTCTGCCTCCCGAGTGCTGGGACTAAAGGTGTGCGCCACCACACCTGGCCTATAAATGTTAAATTTTAAAAAAGAAATTTTGTAGCTGAGGATAAGGAATGCTTACACAGGTGATGGTGAATTTAAGATAGTCTCTGGATTTTTACTTTTAATTTATAATTATCTTTAATACAAAGCTTGAAAAGTAAACGCCAGATAAATGGGTTCCAATGAGACATTAATCATCATTTTAGATTTTTCCAATGTAGCCAGAATTCACCCTTTGAAGACTTAGCTTTAGGAATTTGGTGGCATCTACAGGTGGTAGTAGCACATGACCTTGTTGAATATAGCAATAAATTCAGGCTCCTTTATCCTAGAGTATGGTCTTTTTAAATTGAGCTTTTAAAATTTCATACAATATTTCCCATTCAAATCTTGAACCCCTCTCCCATCCATGCCTTCCCCTATCCCCCCAGTATGGTCCTTCTTATAGGCAAAGTAAGGCATATTCAACAGTATCTTAAAGCTTAACTAGAACTGGCTGTGGTGGCTCATGAGTATAAGTTGAGCATTCTGGAAGCTGATGCAGAAGGATCTGGGAGTTCAAGGTCAGACTGAATTGTGTGGAAGATCCCTATCTTAAGTAAACAAAGCTCAGCTTCAAAGTACCCATATGGTCTTTCTTTCATTGTTTTCTGATACAGGGTCTTACCCTGTGGTCCAGGCTGGTCTCAGACTCTGGATGCTGTACCCTTAAACTCTTCAATGCTGAGATCATTACACTATACCACTATACCCAGCTGCTTTTATCATGTTTTTATAACCTCTTTCGCCTTTCTCTCTCCCCAGTGTGAGTTATATCACTGGGTTGATCTGTTGGACCGCTTCGATGGTATTCTGGCAGATGCTGGACAAACAGTGGAGAATATGTCATGGATGCTTGTATGTGATAGGCCAGAACGAGAGCAACTGAAAATGCTTCTATTGGCTGTGTTGAACTTCACAGCCTTGCTCATTGAGTACAGCTTTTCCCGGCATCTCTACAGTTCCATAGAGGTAAGGGAGGTTTAAGACTATGTGATCTGTTCTTAACTAGAATCGTGTATATCCACAAACAAGGGAATTACTGTTTCTGATGCTTTTCCCTTTCATTATGGCTCTCTGGGTTTTTCAGCATCAAAGATAAGAATAGTAAGGACTGGATGTTTAGCTTAGTGGGAGAGTACTTGCCTAGTGTGTACAAAGCCCTGGGTTAAATCCTTAGAACTACAGGGAGAAAAAGATAATAGATGTTTCTTAGGACTAGATATTACCCTTCTTAGGGTTGATGGAAAGGTTCTCTATTTCATAGTTATTTTACCTTTTCGAGATGTAAGAAATGTATCTTTTGTATCTGTATTGAAATATTTTTAGTATTCTGGAATTGTCATTCCATATTATTAGAGGTGCCACAAATTACTCTTAGGCTATTAGAAATGATGATTCATCATATTAATAAACTTTTTTCAATCTCATCTCTATTTTCCCATACCCGTTCAAAAATATATACAATCCTCCCATAATAACCTGTGGGAGATTAGTTCCAGGACCCCTCTGTATGACTTCCCAAATACTTAGTTACATCAAGATTACTTGACAATGCCTAACACAATAAAGATTTCATTTGGTTCACATTTGAAAGGGATACAGTTCATCCTGACAAGGAAGGTATAGTGGCAGGTTGCTCCATGATGGTAGGAGCTTGTGACAACTGTTGCTCTCATCTATGGGGATCCGGATGCAGAGAGGAGATATGAAGCTGGACTGGGGATAAATTTCAAGGAAGTAGTGACCCACTTCCTTCAGTTAGACTTTACCTTCTAAAGGATCCACAACCTTTCAAAAATGGTGCCGTAACTGGTGATCAAGTGTTCAAACACATGAGCCATATATTACATCAATGCCATAACAACAATGTAAATTTTTTAGAGAATATTGACAAGAAAGTTAAGTGTATATGTTCAGTGGGTATGTACTTCTAAAAAATATTTCCGTCCATGGTAAATTGAATGGGTGGATGGTGTGGGTGGGGCTCATGGGTATGGGAACCTACTATATCTATAGTATCCTGTGCCTATAAAGAACAAAGTGAACAGAGCAATCCATGACTTTTAAATGAGTTAAAAATACTGTAAGAAGAAATTATGTTCCTAAGCTGGGTGTGGTGGTGCACGCCTTTAATCCTAGCACTCAGGAGGTAGGGGCAGGCGGATTGCTGTGAGATCTAGGGCAGCTAAGGCCAAAAAGAAAAAAAGAAGTTATATTCCTTTAGCCCAGCCTTTTTGACTTCTAATCATCATTTATCTGGGTATCATAATTTTAGGCGTATTAATTTTCCTAAAGAAACAGAGCACATAAGTAGAACGAAAACAATTACAAAAAGTAGAAAGACTGAATCAGGGCCTAGTACAGAACTCTTTCAAATGGGGATGGATGGATGGATGGATGGATGGATGGATGGATGGATGGATGGATGGATGGATGGATAAGCAAGCAGTCCGTTAATAAAATAGATATGCTGGCAGTGGAAGTCCATGACCATTAGAATAATCTGTAAATAAAATGCTTTGGTTCATTTCCATCTAAATTACATATTGATTTTAATTTTGACCAGTTCCTTTAATATATTGGTAAATATTCATTGTATTTAAGAACCAAAATAGTCACTCAGGCTACTCCTGAACTTACATTGTATTTTAATACTTTGATTTTACATAATTGCAACCAGTTGTTGGTAACTAACTTTTATATGAGCTTTTTATATTTGCCATAAAAGATACAAAAGGATATGATAATCTTGGTTTCACAACACTTGTAGTCCACTTGGAAACGTAATGTCTTTGAGTTTTTCATATGTATTATGTCACATTTCTCGTGTAGATCTTCCTTTATATGGAGGCACTGATAAAATTTTTTACTTATTACACTTTGACATTTTTTATTATACTTTCTGGCCAGCTGCTAGCTTATTAGTTACATATTGTAGGTGCTTGAATATTAATTTGTATTGTGGCTAAACAACTTGATAGTTTTAATATTAATGTACATTATTTACTTTGTTATTTTTTAAGTTTTTAGTGCTGACTGCCTGATACATTGAACTTTGTCCTTCTTTGCTCCTATAGCATTTGACAACTTTATTGGCTTCTTCTGATATGCAAGTGGTGCTGGCTGTCCTTAATCTTCTATATGTATTCAGCAAAAGATCAAACTATATCACACGTCTTGGATCTGACAAGAGGACCCCACTACTAACACGGCTGCAGCATTTGGCAGAAGTGAGTCTTGCGCAAAGACTGGAAAAACAAAAGAATAAGACCATATGGCTTCTTTTAAACCAGTGTTCCTTGCTTTGTCAAAATGGATTAGAATCCTCGTTAACTTTCTGGCCTAATTGAGTATAGGTAACGGTTTTTTTAAAAACTAACCTAAATATTCTCAGTTACTGTGTACTTTCGAAGCATTTCATTAGTCATTGTTAATGAAGATACTCTTTTTTTCAAAAACAGCTGTGCTTCTGGAAGGTTCAGAACCATGGATTCCATGTTAGAACGAAACACCGGGCCAAAAAGGTCTAGATTTGAATCTTAACTCTTGTCAGTTTTTATTTAACCTTGGGGTTATTTTAGAATAAGTGTAAGGTATTCAGTACTATGATCAGCAATCAGTTTTTTCTAATGGTGGTGTTTGTAATTGGAATCAGGAGTTCTTAAAGGAAAATTCAACTCTGCTAAGGTATTGTCTGGTGTTCTAGAGGTTAATTAATAATACTGGTTAGATTTATTGGAAATTTTTTTTTGCGGGATTATGATAGCTCAAGCTATCTTCAAATGTGTAACCCCCCCCCCCCATACACACACACTGCATGAGCATCCCAAGCACTGAGATCACAGGCATGTACCACCACACCTGGCTCAAGCCTTGTTTTTTTTTCTTTTTGGTCTTTTTGAGACAGGGTCTCCCTGTAGCCCCAGCTGTCCTGGAACTCACTGTGTAGACCAGGCTGGCCTTGAACTCAAAGAGATCCTCCTGCCTCTGCCTCCCCAGTGCTGGGATTAAAGGCGTGTACTACCACACACAGCCCTCAAGCCTTGTTTTAATGGCTAATTTAATGGTTACCTCACAGTTGACTTAAGTTTCAGGCTCTTTGTAGGTTCCATTACTTTTGAAAACATTTTTGTATGATTAAGAATTATAATAAAAATTCTAGGATGGAGATAGTATATACTCATAAGAAGTGTAAGGTAATTCAGCATCAAGTTGATAATGAGGGATATGATCAAAATGCATTATATATTTATGTATTATGAAGTTATGAAGGAAATTAATTTTCAAAACTTAAAATTTTTTCACATTAATGAAATATTAGGGATAGTGAAATGACTCAGCAGATGAAGGTGCCTGCCACTAAACCTTAAGCCAATGACCTGAGTTTGCCCCCTTCCCCCTTCAGTACCCATGCGGTAGAAGAACAGAGTGGACTTCTGCAAGTTGTCCTCTGATCTCCACACATGTGTTGTATACACACACAAAAAAATAAATATTTTTTTTTAAGATACTAATATAAACTCTCAGTAAGCTCAGAAAAGAAACTTCAAATTTTATAAATTATCTACCAAAAGTCATAGTGAAGGTGAATTCAAAAGTCATACAAAATGCCAAGTCTTAGCTTTGTTTTCTGAGTTTCATATGGAGAAAGGGCTCAGCTGTTGGGCACATACTGTTCTTTCAGGGGACCTGAATTCAATTCCACATCAGGCAAAAGAAAATTTGTTGTTGTGTGCGATGGGGTTTCCTAGGGCGATCATAGAAAGTTAGCTAAGGGAAAGATCAATATACAGAAGGAGCTCTTCACAGATAATTACTAATGATGCTGACCCAAGGGTAAAGTTACAAAATCTTAAACTGTATGTGTAATATTTTACATGGCTTAGTTCTTATGGTGTATATAATTTTATATGGTGCTTTGTTTACTTAATGTACTAGCCTCAGTGTTTTTCAGTGTTAACTATTAAATGGAACAATAGAAAACACAAAAGGAAAATAATGGCGCAAAGTTTATTCTGCCTTGCACATTCACATCTGTGGTTTGATTTATCTGTTTCTTCTGTGTAGCCTCCAGCTTTTGTATACTCTTAACCATATTGGTTTCAACAAACTCCATGTCTTCTCAGGAAGTCCTGAGAATAGCCAAGGAAATGCTGGAAATGTGATGAGGAAGTATTCATTGTATTAGGTATTAAACCATTTTGTAAAACTATAGTAATTAGGATAATGTGATCAAAATGAGGATCCAGTAGTTCCCAAAACAGATCCATCATGTAAGAATTAAATTTATTTTAAAGATGACATTAACAGAAGAAGAATGAATTATTCTATCAAGGGGGATTGTTAACAACTGATTTACTATTCAGGAAGCAATTAGGTAGATCCTAACTCCAGAAGGTAAAATTAATAATACATTAAAGAGTTCAGCATTAAAAACAGAATCTGGGGCTAAAGATATAGCTTAGAGTGCTTACCTAGCCTTCACAAAACATACATAGACTGGGTGTGGTGGTGCACACCTGTAATCCAGCACCCAGGAAAGAGGATCAGAAGTTTAAATTCTTGCCTGCCTACCTACATACATAGCAAGTTCAAGACCAACCTAGGAGGCCCAGTTTCAAACAAACATCAATCTGTAAGAACATTGAAAGATAACACAACTGCATAGCCAGTGGTACCCGCCCCTGTAATCCCAGCACTTCCGGAGGGCAGAAGCATAGTGGTAGGTCAGCCCCTGTTTCAGGAGAAAGGTAGGAGTAGAAAATACAGATAGCTGCATGGGGATAAGGGTTTTAAAAAATGAGTTTAGGCCAGACTAGACTGGGTATGGTGGAATCCGCCTTTAATCCTAGCACCAGAGGGGTAGAGGCAAGCAGATCTCTGAAATGCAAGCCAGCCTGGTCTACATAGTGAATTCCAGACCACCTGGGGCTACAGAAGAGACCCTGTCTGAAAAAAAAAAATCAAAAATAAAAAGTCAAGGCTCATTCCATGAAAGAATAAATTGGCTCTCTTAACCATATGACTTTGTACGTGAACATTTTAGATACTTTGTAGTCATGCCATCTCTGTCTCAATTTTTTCCATATTTGGGTAACTTGTAGTTCTATTATATAAAAATTGCAATAGTGAATCCATTTTATCCCTGAATATTTTGACCGTAACTAACGTCAGGTTCTTTTAAAATAGTTTATATGAATAGTGAACCTTGTACTTTACACATACTTATTTTATTGAACTCTCAGATGTTACAGGAGTCATTTTCTTAGTTTTATGCATAAGCAGTAACTTTGTTACTGGTTTCTGGAGCTCTGTCTTACTCTATTTCACTGATAACCATCTATGTGTGTGGTATATGTGTGTCCGTGTACTTTAAAAGAAAAAGCAAGAGCTTATTTTTTTCTTGGTCAGTCTAACTATAGTTTCGTCTGTTAGGTCATTTTAAAGAGCCACTTTTTGGTTTAGTTGGCTGTTTTCCTGTTTAATTTACTGCTGTTATCTTTACACTCGTTTGGGTTTCATTGACTCATGGTTCATTTAGGGTGGAGTGTTAGATTTGAGATACTTTTTTTTTGTTTTGGGGGGGGTTGTATAATTGTTTATACAGATTCAACAAAGGTCAAACTGCATAAGGAAGGTCTAGGAAACACCACCATACAACAATGGCACTTAAGAATGCAGAACTTGACACCTGAATGTTGAGAACCTACTTTATATGTCAAGAAGTTACACAAGCATGTTGTGGACAAATGTAAATTGTAATCAAATATACTTTACCAAGTTTCTTCACTAGAGATACTTCATTTTTAATACTATGTGTTTTAATTTGCAGACTTGTGCTTGGTTTATCAAGGAATTTCTAATATACCATGTTAATTTTTCTTTTGACCCATTTATTATTAAGAGTGTTGTTAAATTACCATGTACTTGTGAATTTTTCAGATTTCCTTTTGTTACAAATTTCTGATTATTTTCTGTTGTCATGGTCTATTGTCTTTGGTGTTAGTTTAAGTGTATTAAGGGTTGTTTTGTGGCCTAATGTAAGGTCAGTTTTCCAAAATATTCAATGTGTCTTAGAAAGAATGTGTGCTCCAGTCTTCAGCATATGTCAGTCTTTTATCTAATCATCACTTTTTGCTCTGGTAATTTCTACCGGTATCTTAATTTACAAAACTGTCGATTAAGTTAATGCCGACTTAATTTGTTTTGCTATTGGTGTGATTCTGGGGTTTGCAACTAGTGCTTTGCATATTATGCAAGCGCTCTATTACTGAGCTATATCCTGAGCCTCCTCCCCCCCAGTTTAGTTGTAATGGTGCACAGAAACTTCACTCCTGTATTGCTCTGTTGCCCTCTGCATTTTTATGCCATTCTCATTTCCAATTATATCTTTTATACAATGTAGGTGTATAATTTTGGTTTATGTAGTTCTCTTTTTTGGCTGGTTTGTTTGTTTGTTGGTTTGTTTTGAGACTAGGTCTCACTATGTAGAGCTGGCTGGCCTGATACTTAATATGTAGACCAGACTGGCCTCGAATTCCCAGAGACCCACCTGTCTGCCTCCCCATTTGTGTGGAAATCGCTTTACTCACTCTGCCATCTCTCCAGCATTCTTTGATCGTTTTAAAATTAGATCATTGTCCTAGGTAGTTTTAACTGTCAACTTGACACAGCCTGTAGTCACCTGAGAAGGGTATCTGAATTGAGGGATTTCGCAGATCAGATTGGTCTGGGGGACCAATAATTGAGGGATTATCATGATTGCTGATTGATTTAGAAGGGCTTATCATCCCTGGAGATTGGCTTAAAAGAAACACGTTTTGAAAAGATGAGTTGCAAATCTAAAGCAGAGGGCTGGGGTGATACCTCAGGCAGTAAAATGCTCGCCATGCAAACAGCGAGGACCTGTAAATGTAGAATAATGTCCATTTTTATATCCTTATGTAGTTACCTTGCCAATTAATCTGTGAGTAGATTCAAATTAGTGTCCAGTGTTCTTTATTTCAACATGAAGGACTTACTTTATTTACCATTATTAACAGTCGAGTTTACTTAAAACTAACTTTCCTCAGCCTTTTAGTTTATCTGGGAATGTCAGTTTCTTCACTTTTGAGGGGGAATTTTGGGAAATGGTACAAGTTTATAGGGGTTCCCTCCCACCCAGCACTTTGAATATGCCATTAGACTGTACTCAAGCCTATAATAAATTTTGACACAGCTCTCTAAGTTTCTCGAGTTTGTAGACCATACTTTTGTCAAACTTGGGTCCTCTGGAAGAACAGAAAGCATTCTTAACCACTGAACTCTTTCCAGCCCCTTGTTTGTTTTATGTTTTTTATACTACTGTGCTGAGACTTCTATACACATCTGGGGTTGTTTCATTGATTTTTTTTTTTTTTTTTTTTTTTTTAGGAGACAGGGTCTCACTAAGTAGCACTGGCTTGACGTGGAGCTCCTTTGTGTAGGTAGACCGGCTGGCTTCAAACTGAGAGATCCGCCTGCCTCTGCCTGTTAAAATCATAGCCTTGGTTGAATTTTTTTTATCACCTATTTTGTTTCAGTTGAGTAACTGCAATATTCAGATGGGACTAAGTTGTAGAGTTGAGGTGCATAGTTCAAGAAGTTAAACTCCTGATGTTCTCAGGCACCTAGTAAGATCTCTATTGCTCCTATAGAATATTAATCTCTATAAGGTTTTGGCCTTTACATCAGATGCTGGAGCTTGAAGTCCAGTGGGCACGTAGTGAAAACCAAAAACTGGCTAAGGGTTGGAGAACTTTAAAGGCGGGCCCAGGAGTTACTCTGGTGGCAGACCTGCTAGATACAACTTAGTAGTGAGGTGAACCAGCACACAAGTGACAGCAAGAGACACAGAAGTGCCTGCCCCATGCTTTGGGGCATAAAATGAAAATGTTGAGGGTGCTGGAGAGATGGCTCAGTGGATAAGAGCACTCACTGCTCTTGGCAAGATCCACGTTCAAATCTCAACACCCACATGGTGGCTAACAGCCGTCCTTAACTCCAGTTTCAGGGGATCCAACGCCCTCTTATGACCTTCGTGGGCATTCCACAACACAGGTGCACCTTCCTAAATGCAGGCAATACACTCATGCACATAAAATAAAAATAATAGATCAAAATGTCGAAAGATTTTTTGAACTATAAATGCTCTTTGATGTAGATCAGTGAGGCTGATATCTAATAAATTTAAAGACATAAGTCTAATTATTAAACCCAAATACACATCAACTTAAAATAGCACTAACATACCATTGTGATCATCTGTATAATTTCATAAAGGTAGGAACTGTGTGTGGCCACTTAACTCTGTCATAGTGTCTAAGTAGTTAGCTAGAACCGATATATAAATTTAAAAATCCCCTGTTTTTGAAAATGTATATATTAAGCATAATTTCAGCCAGATAGAAAATTTTATTTCTACCCTTGCCTTCACATCCTCCTGGCACAGACACTAAAGACGAATGTGCTACAGTTGTGCATGTTGTGTGCCTTTTGAGGTTCCTAGAAATAATGTGAAACTTCAAAGCCTTTCCTTTAATCCCCAAAGTATCTTACACTGCAGCTTTTTCTTCCTAAGCTTTGCCTTTGTCCATTGTTTACAGGAACTGTTGTCCTCCCCAGAAGGTGGAGACCAGTGCATTGGCTAGTAGTGTTTTCAAAAAGTTTCTGCCCCTGGGAGAATTCCAAATTAAGCAATATAGTAGCAAACCCTTGGAGCTTTTCTTTCAGGGCCCAAAATAATGAAACACTATTATTACAGTAAGTTTCATTTTCTTAACTCTAGGAGTGTGAACTGTTGACTTACAGCCACTGTTTAGCTGATGTAGGGTCAGTAAGTTAATTGTAGCAAAGTTAACTTTCTAAAATTTTTAATAAACGTAATTCTGAATTCAAATTTTTCCAGTGTATTCCTTTAGTGATATAGGTAGGATTTTGGAATTACCTACTATGCCTTTTTCACTAATATCAATGCTAGGAGAATAGTCATTGTTAGCCGGCTGGGAGAGGGAGTTATAAGGTTTCTAGGTAACTTTTCTTAGCTATGGTTTCCCCTAAAGAAATACCCTATAATGCCCTAGAAATATCAATTATAAAAAAGCCTGCCAGTAGTTTGAGAGAGCTTATTTCTCAAGAACCAGGTAGATTTAGTTTTACCAGTAGTGCTCTGTAATGGGGAGCTCTGACAACTCCAGTGATTCACACTGTTTTAAAAGACTTCATTGGGAGATACTGACAAGATTACAAAGAAGGAAATATTGCCATGAGAGAGAAAGAACGAGCGTGAGCCATGTTATAGACTTGCCTGATACTGAACCATAGCCACAGTGTTTAGACCCCATGTGGACTTTGCAAGAATAAAGTGAAGGCATGGATTTAAGTGGCATTTGTGCTTGAACAATGCCAGGCATGGCTTAACTTGCAGAATTATTGGAAGAGTGGAAGTAGTTCATTAAAACTTGTGGTTGTAGCTAGGATGAATGGCTGGTAAATATTTAAACTTAAAAATGCAGTGCTCTTAATGTTAAAATTACGGCTATTTCAAAGGCAGGCCCATGAAAGATGCAGGCTGATCCATAAGCAAGATTGTATGGTTAGAATTTAGGTTTGGAAGCCATTAGAACCATTCTCATTACCATGGATACTTGGTTTTGTGCTTTAGTAGCAAAGTATCTTAGGATCTCCTAACTTGTGACTTCGCTCACATGAAACAAAGAAGAAAGGAGCTGGAGAGATGACTCTGCAAATAATAGCACTGACTGTTCTTGCAGAGGACCCAGGTTCAGTTCCCAGCACCCACTTGGAAGCTAACAACCGTTCATAACCCTAGTTCTGGGGGATCCAACATTCTCTTCTGACCTCCACAGGCATTGTACGACATGGGTGACTTACACACATGCAGGCAGTACACTCATACACATATTATTATAAATAAAATATTTTTAAAAGAAGGAATGTGGTTCCACCCTGATACAGATGAGCAGACAGATTTCTGGAAAAGACCCAGTATGACATTACTTTTAGACATGTGGAATGCAGGAGCTAGTTATTGCTGCCTTTGTTCTTACCTTGAGCATCTTCACAGAACCAAGAAATAGATTTCCTGAAGAAACAACCTTTAGACATACCATTTTGTTTTAAGATTCAATTTTTTTGCTTTTATTTGTTGCCTGAACTTTGACATAATTGTATGATTTCTTATTATTTCATGCACATAAGACTGTGAGCATTATTTTAACACTGTCTTTTTCCTTTACCAGAGCTGGGGTGGAAAGGAGAATGGCTTTGGACTTGCAGAATGTTGCAGAGACTTGCATATGTTGGTGAGTAACTGTTTGGGATATGGTATCTTTTGACAGAGTTACCATTTTTTTCTAAGCATTTTTATAGTTAATATATGGCATTATAAAGTTGACACTTGACATCAGGACTTGTGGAGAACTGAGAAAAATTGAGAAATAATACTCTTGGGAAGCTTCAGCTCTTACTCTTGGGAAGCTTCAGCTCTTACTGTGCTTATTATAAAGATTTTAAGAAATAATAGTATGTGTTTATATACCCAATTCTGAAATAGGGAGCTGATTTTGTTGAATTAAACTGAAATATTTTTTTGGGTTTTTTTTTTTTGTTGTTTTTTTTTTTTAACTCAAAGTGAAGCCAGGTGTGATAACACATACCTATAATCTCATTGTTAAGAAGGTGAAGGCAGGAAGATCAGGAATTCAAGATCAGCCTTGGCTAAATGGTATCCTGTCTTTAAAAAAAAAAAAAAGTGCAAGGCCAAGTGTGCTCACGCCTTTAATCCCAGCAGAGGCAGGAGGATCTCTGAGTTCAAGGCTAGCCTAGTCTGCATAGTGAGTTCCAGGCCAGCTAGGGCTACAGGGACACCCTGTCTCAAAAAGACCAAAAAAGCCAGGCATGGTGGTGCATGCCTTTAATCCCAGCACTCAGGAGGCAGAAGCAGGCAGATCTCTGTGAGTTCGAGGCCA